CCTCGCCCCCGGCGCGCTCCCGGCCACTCACACCCACCGCACCCCTCCCAGGCCGTCATCGATCGCGAGAACCACTACCGCACCCTGTTCGCCCAGCACCGCGACCATGCCGACCTGAAGGATCCCCACCTGATGATGATCCCCCTCTTCGACCAGGCCCCCGAGGCCCTGGTCGCTCGCGACGCCAACGAGGAGGCCGCCCTCGGCCCGGATGGCCAGCCCCTCTTCCGGATGATGTTCGCCGACAGCACCGAGGGCAATCGCTTCCGCAAGGCCCCCGGCCAGCCGGTCACCGCCGGCTCGCTTGCCGCCTTCCACCAGAACTGGGAGCTCTTCACCGAGAACTCCCTGCGCTATGTCAACTGGGACAATGTCGTGGTGGCCGGTGGCTCGGTCCTGGCCAGCCTCATGCCGGTCTTCGACCCGGAGACCTCCTCCACCTTCATGGAGGATGCCGACGTGCCCTCGGGCCAGGTGGCCAAGGCCCGGGCCTCGCTCCAGGTGGACTCCTCCACCCGCATGCTCATCGGCGCCACGGCCACCGCCCCGGGCGAGGCCATCTCCCCCAAGCGCCAGCGCTACATCTACCACAACATGCTGTACCGGTCGTCCGACATCGATCTCTTCATCTACGGCCTGGATGAGGAGGCCGCCCGGGCCAAGCTCGTCGAGCTGTACGAGGCCATCTCCAATGCCATCCCCCACGCGGCCCTGGTCTTCCGGTCCAAGTACGCCGTGTCCATCGTCAGCCAGTTCCCCTACCGGCACATCCAGATTGTCCTCCGCCGGTATGCCTCCCCGGCCGAGGTGCTCATGGGCTTCGATGTGGACTGCTCCAGTGTGGCCTTCGACGGCCGGCAGGTGTACGCCATGCCGCGTGCCCATGCGTCCCTGGTGTTCCAGCGCAACACCATCGACATGTCCCGGCGGTCGCCCTCCTACGAGACCCGGCTGTCCAAGTATGCGGCCCGTGGCTTTGCCGTGCGCACTCCCTACTACGACCTGGCCCGTGTGGATCCCCAAATCCTGGAGCGCTCCTTCGACCGGGTCCAGGGCCTGGCCCGGCTCATTCTCCTGGAGCGCCTCCGGTCGCCGGCCGCCATCCAGAACTACCGCGATGAGCAGCGCCTCCGGCGCATGCGCAACGAGTCCAAGGATGCCCTCGGGTCTGGCAACAGCCTCGTCGGGACCCCCTCCGCCGGGGGGTACCTTCGCCAGCAAATCGAAAACCGCCTCAGCAGCGATGCCTTCCTCCGGGACCGGCTCATGGGCACCGACATCAGCGAGCTGTCCGACTATGCCACGGTCTTCCTGCCCTGGGGCCCCAATTGGAATGCCAAGAGCATCCAAACCCTCATGGAGGGCAAGGACACCATGCTCAATTCCCCCTGGTTCGACCGGACCAAGACCTACCACACCCATCCGTGCTTCGTCGGCCGGATGTCCACCGTGCTGGAGGACTGCTGTGGCTTCTGCCCGCCCTTCCCCTCGGACTTCGACATCAACGAGTCGGCCTTCGTCTATGGGTCCCTGACCTTCCTGGCCGATGACCCGGGCCGCCAGTCCATCGGCTCCTTCCGGCCCATCACCGATGGCGACTGGCTGGAGCCGGCCTTCCTCGATGAGTCGACCGATTTGCTGGCCACCGCCGCGGCCACCGGCAACATGGCCCTCTTCCGCCAGGCCCTGGATTTGGAGTCCGAGCGCTTTGTCCGCGAGCGGGATGCCGCTCGCGCTGACAAGGTCGCCGCCGACCGGGCCCTGGCCGATGCCCTGGCCGCCGTGGAGGAGGCCCAGGCCGGCAAGGCGGCCGCCGCCGCTTCCATGGACCTCGATGGGCCCCAGTCCCCGGAGGCCGATGAGGCTGCCTGGGCCGCGCGGCTGTCGGCCGCCCGGTCGGCCCATGCCCTGGCCACGGTGGCCCAGGACCGCGCCACCAAGCGCCTGGAGGACATGATCGGCATGCGGCTGGATTCCCGGGACTCCCTCGGCCGGACTCCGTTGATCCTGGCCGTGCTGGCCAATCGCCGGGAATTGGTCCAGGCCCTGTTGGATGCCGGCCTGCGGTCCCTGCGGGCGGCGGTCCTGCGCCTGCGCTGCTCCGGCCATGTGGAAGACCTGACCGATGAGGCCGATCGCCGCCTGCTGGCCGAGCTGGAGCCCTGCCTGGAGTTGCCCCTGCCGGAGCATGTGCAGCCCAACCTCTCGGAGCGCGCCTTCAATGGCCGGACCCCGCTGCACTTTGCTGCGCACTACAATCGCCCGGAGATTCTGGCCGACCTGCTGGAGTACAATCACCAAGTGCGCGAGTTGCTTCTGGAGGCCCGTCGCATTCGCGAGGGCTCCGCGCCCGGGGTCAAGCGCGCGCGCCCCTCCTCCGACCTGCAGGATGGCGATGAGGCCAAGGCCGCGGCCGTGCGCCATTCGCTGGCCATCGCCGACAGTGCGCGCGCCTCTTCGCCCGGCACCGCCGACATGGACCTCGAGGAGGAGGAGGAGGAGGAGGGCTCCGGCTCCGAGGGCTCCGGCTCCGAGGGCTCCGACTCCGACGGCTCCGAGGGCTCCGACGGCTCCGACTCCGATGGGTCCGAGGGCTCCGAGGGCTCCGATTCCGATGGGTCCGAGCTCGAGGACATGATGGAGATGGCCGAATCCGATGACGACGCCGATCCCCATGTCACCAAGACCTACAAGGTCAGCGTGGCCAGCGCCTCCGATCCCAAGGCCTCGGTGACCATCCGCGAGGCCTTTGTCTCGGTGGACTGCGAGGATTGGGACGGCCATCTGACCCCGCTGCATTATGCCGTGCTCTTCGGGAGTGTGGCCTGCGCGCGGGTGCTCCTGGCCCATGGGGCCAATGCCTCGCGGCCGTGCCTGCCCTTCGCCAACAACGACCGCGATGCCATGACCCCCCTGATGCTGGTGGCCTTCGTGGAGGACAGCACCATCGCCGTGTCCCTGGCCCGGCTCCTGGTCGAGGGCGTGGACCTGGTGCCGATTGCCCAGCGCGATGTCGACTCCCCGACCGCCACCCGGTCGCAGCCGGCCAACCTGGTTGACATGCTGCTGACCAGCCAGCTGAATGTCATCGGGGTGTATGCCATCCGCCTGCGGGCGGACTTGCTGACCGACTTCGTCGGCAAGTGCTTCCCCCCGGAGGTCCTGGCCCCGCTGCTGGCGCATGTCACCATCGGCCAGCTCAACCCCCTGTCCCTGGCCATTCGGTATGGCTTCCAGCTGGCCGCGGACTTTGGCCGGCGGAGCATGCCGGTCATCCTGCGCGAGGGGCTGGGCCGTGCTGCCCGCGAGCAGCTCACCGCCGACACGGTCGAGGCCCTGCTCCGCCTCGGCACCCCGGCCATCGTGCAGATGTCCCACCTGAATGCCTCCAAGGAGCTGCTCATGGCCGTGTGGACCGACCGCCGGCCGTACAGCGCCGAGCGCGGCTACTCCAGCCTCAACCTCGAGACTCAGCCTCATCACCTGGCCCTGACGGCCCGCCTGCCGCGGGTGCTGGAGCTCATCCTCCAGGCGTTGGAGTCGTCGCTGGTGTCGATCGTCTTCCAGAGCGTGTCTCGGTGCGTCCTGCCTGCCCTTGTGTGCCTGCCTCCTCCCCCCGGGCGGGGGTCGGCTTCTTCCCCGGCTCCGGCGTGTCATGCTCACCTGCTTCCTTTTTTCCTTTTTTTCCCCCTGTCTCCCCCCGCTCATCCGCGCACCTTGCAGCATGCCGGCCACCTTCCGCGACCAGCTGAACAACGTCGCCAGCGCCTACAGCTCTTCCAACAAGCGCCCGCCTCCGCGGTCTCGAAATGCCCCCCTGGTGGCCGATGTCACCTTCAACCCGGCCGTCGGCCTGGCCCCGGCATGCAACCTCGTGGACTTCGTGGTGTCCGCCGCCGCGGAGATGATTTACGCCTGCAACCACAACACCGAGCAGCTGGCCTCCCTGCGCGCCGCCGCGCCGGAGCTCTTCGACCTGGTGGACCAGATTTACACGCACACCGAGCTGAACACCGAGACCGCCCTCAATGAGGTGGATGTCAACAGCTCCGATGTGGAGGTGGCCGACATCCGGGCCGCCATGCGTGCCATCAAGCAGGCCATGCGCGATGAGTATGCCGCCGCCCTGGCCACCCTCAAGTCCTCGGCCGATTCCACCATGGACGATGCCTCCTCGTCCGGCTCCGATGACGATGAGTCCCCCGAGCCGGCGCAGGCATCGGTCGACATCGACATCGATGGGGATCTCATCGAGCAGGGCGACCACCCGGCCGACCATGAGGACTTTGTCCACGAGCGCCCGGCTCCGGATGCCCTGCTGTGGCTGGCCGCCGGGGATGTCACCGGCCAGGCGATGCCGGATTCCCGGCTGTCTGATCATGACGACCATGTGTTCATCCTGCGCAATGCCATCCGCCTGCGCGATCGCCAAGCCCGGAAGGTCCGCTCTCCGCAGGGGCTGTTCGACACGCCGGAGCTCTTCTCCACCACCGGCATCCATTCGGTCCTGGCGGGCATGCGCACTCGTCGGCAGATCCTGCGCGAGATCGCCCGCCATGAGGCCCTGTCGGCGGATTCGCCATCCACCCCCCCGGGCGCCCTGCTGACCATCCTCCTGCACGACCTGGCCGTCATCAATTACATGCTCGGCCTGCCGGCCGGCGAGCGCGCTGACGATCGCGACGCCGAGCACTTTGCCGCCCTGGCCAATGCCCAGCGCGGCGGCCACTCCACCCCCAAGGTCATGGCTCGCCTGCGGCCGGACATCCTGGCCACCGCCAATGAGGCCATCGACACGGTGGCCGACGCCGCGCGCCACCAGCGCATGGATGCCTTCCGTCGCCTGGATGACATGCGCCGGATGCTGGCCACCCGCTTCGGCATGAGCACCACCTTCACCCTCACCTACCCGGCGGCGGTCGGTCCCGATCCCCAGCCCAAGCGCGTGCGCCGGCTGGGCTTCGATGACCCGACCCAGCTGGCCACCCAGCTGGTCAACGAGTATTCCAACCGTTGCTGGAGCCGGATCACCGCTCGCGAGGCCGACGCCCTGAGCAAGACCCTCACCCCGGCCGCCATTCAGGCGGCCCTGGCCCGGGAGCTGGGCGGCCAGCAGCACATCACCGCCGAGCCGGAGCTCGAGTCCTTCACTCGGCGCCTGGCCGCGTCGGCCCTGGCCGTGCTGCCTGCCACCCTCAAGCGCCTGGTGACCTTCGCCGCGGAGGCCGCCGCTCGCGAAGCCAATGCCAAGGCCCTGCTTGGGCTGAATGCCGCGGCCCAGTCCCCCGGCTCCAAGTCCACCCCTCATGCGCGCAAGTCCGCCAAGCGCCACCCTCATCGCCGCCGGATGGCCAATGTGTCGGATGTGGCCCGGGTCCAGTTTGTGGCCGGCGATCAGCCGGTCAAGGGCGAGGCCAATGAGGCCATCTACCGGGCCCTCTTTGAGGCGGTCTTCGCCGGGGACCTGGACCGCGTGGCCGACCTGACCGACACCACCAAGCATGGTGCCAGTGTGGCCCTGGTCGACTCGCGCATGGGCGGCTCCTCCAAGACCACCCCCCTGCGTGTGGCCCTGCGCTTCCTGGACCACCCGGCCCCCATGGTGGAGCTGCTGCTGTCCCGGATGGCGAGCCAGTACCGGCCGAAGCTCAGCCGCGCGGCCATGCGCGTCGCGGCCCAGGCCGCCTCGGAGACGGCCGACTCGGCGGCCAAGCGCGCGGCCCGCGTCAACAATGTCAGCCTGCTGGCCGCCGGCTTCGCCGGCCATGATGACGAGTGCTCCGACTTCTCCGACGATGACACCTGCTACTTCGATGAGGGGGCCCTCAGCATGGCCATGGGCCGTGACATGCTGGCCTCCTCGGCGTCCATGTCCAAGGCGGAGGCCGCCCAGCGGGCCTTCAGCCGGGCCAGCCGGGCCAATCGCCTGGCCCAGCGCGCCGCCAGCCAGAAGAAGCCCGATGCCGATGACCCGGCTGCCGCCAAGGCCGAGCGCATTGGCCACCTGCGCTTCAGTTCCACCAACCCGGTGGAGGGGTTCCTGCGGCAGCATGGGTTCCTGCCGGCCGCTCGGCGCCGGGCCGGCCACACCGATGCCCAAATGGCCGGCATGCACCTGCTGAATGAGGACATGGCCAGCACCTTCCGCCAGTCTTCCTCCCACAACCGCTGGTACTCGCGCCATGCCCGTCGGACGGCCGATTCCTCCGGCCAGGAGCCCCTGCCCACCTTGAAGACCCTGGCCAAGTGGGATGACCGCCGGGCCCCGGCCACCGGGGATGCCCCGGCCCAGGACTTCCTCCGGCATCGGACCTCCACCGATGCCTACCTGGGCCTGTCGCCCTCGCAATCGGTCTCCCTGAACATCCTCAATGAGACGCTCTTCCATGCGGCCGGCCTGCCCGGCGGCGAGGACCATGCCCTGGCCTTGGTGCTGGCCCTGCTCAATGGCCTGCGACTGGTGGAGGATACCGTCACGCGGTTGGACCGCCTGGCGGCCCGGCTCCAGGGCCACTCGACCTATGCCCCGCCGGTGATGCAGCTGGCCGAGCGCCTGGCCTCCAACATTGCCGCCGACGCCGAGGACAACCCCCTGCCCTTTGCCATGGCCGTGGCCATGGGCCTGCCTCAGTCGGTGCTGCTGCTGCTGCTTCGGCGCTTCGGTGCCGGGGTCAACTTCGCGGTTTGGCCCCTGCCGGCGGATGTCCCCGTGGCCGAGGTCCGTCGCCACACGGTCCTCACCCGGTCCAGCAAGACGTCCCTCTTCCTGCCGGCGGCCGAGGGCGGCGAGGGGATCGACCGGTCGGCGCGCAATATGCTGACGCTGGTGGCCCTGTCCGGTGGCCCGGGCGCCCGGCCGGAGGGCTTCAACAACATCGACTCCCCGATCATCGGTGGCCATGGGGCCCACCATCCCTTGAGCTTCCTGCCGCCGGCCACGGTGGCCCTGCTGGCCGGGCATGAGGACCTGGCCCGTTGGCTGGCCACCGACCCGGCCCCGCGCCAGGCATTCGCCCAGTTCTGGAACCGCACGACCGAGCGCCGGCCGGCTTCCGAGCTCCTGGTTCGCGGTGCGCCGGATGTGGCCCGCCTGGCCGAGATGGTCCCCGACACCGAGCGCAGCATCCTCCGCGCCCTCGGTCGCGAGGTCTTCCTCACCACGGCCCCCCTCGAGCGGTCGCTCTTCCAATTGGACACCGTGCTCAAGGTGGCCCCGATGGGCACCTCCAGCGGGGACAGCCGCACCGAGTACACCACCGCCGTGTCGGCCGTCACCCTGCTGAATTCCCGCCCGGCCTTGGCCCTCCTCCGGGACATCCTCACCTCGGCCCCGTACTCCCTGTCCTCCGGCCAGCTGACCGACCTGGCGGCCATCGGCCTGGCCCTCGATGCCGAGGCCAAGCCCAACAGCCTGGCCGCTTGGACCACCAGCACCTCGGAGGACCGGCCCTTGGCGGTGCTCTGCACGCGCGATGTCGCCCTCAGCCCCCTGTCCCTGGCGACTCGGCTGGGCTTGACCGATGCCACCGCCGGCCTGCTGGCCGACCTCCATGCGGATCCCAGCCAGATGGACGCCTTCCGCGGGTGGACCCCCCTCCACCATGCGGCCCATGCGCACCAGCCGGCCGCGGCGGCCCTGCTGCTGGACAGCGTGGTCCAGCGCGCCGCCGCCGCCGCCGGCCCCTCGGCCGATGCGGCCACCCAGCTGGCCGCCCTGCGCCAGGCGATCTTCGCCCGGAGCCCGGTGTCCGGCCTGAGCCCGGTGCACCTGGCCGCCGAGCGTGATGCCCATGGGGTTCTCCACGAGATGGCCCTGGCCCTGGCTCGTGCTCGGTTTGCCACCGCCAGCCCGAACCCGGGGCAGCTGCTGCTGGCCCGGGCCGAGCTCTTCCACCCGGATCACCGGACCGCCGCCGGTGGGGACACCTCCCTGCATGTGGCCCTGCGCTTCTCGCAATTCCTCCTGGCCTGCGAGATGATCCTGGCCCTGGGCCTGGCGGCGGCCATCCATGCGCTTGGCCCGGCGGCGACCGCGGCCAATTCCGACACCGTGCACACCATGGCCGATGCCCTGCTGGGCCTCCTTTCCGGGGACAATGCCTCGGTCGGGGCCATCCTCCAAGCGACCACCGCCGCCTCGGCTGGCAGCCCCCTGGCCCATGTGGACTGGGCCCTCCTCCGGCAGGCTCTCCTGTCGGAGAATGCCTTCGGCCTGACCCCGGCCGATCAGCTCTTCACCACCCAGCGCATGGTCCTCGGCGCCAAGGCCCCCAGTGGCGATGGGTCCGTCAGCAATGTCGAAGATCTGCGCGCCTTCGGGACCCATGCCATCCTGTGCTCCGGCTTGACTCGTGCCCTCGGCGTGGCGGCCCCCCTGCCCACCGGCGGCACCGGCCACTTCTCCTGCTCGGCTCGGCTCTTCGCCGCCCTGCATCTCCTCGCCAGTGCCCTGGCCTTCTCGCCGGTCGAGGGGCACCCGGCCACCGCCGGCAGCGCGGCCGCCGCTCGCCAGCTCATCCCCTCGCCCGATGTCCGGGAGGCCCTCTTCCACCTGGCCAGCCAGACGATGCTTCGCCTGGAGCGCACCAGCTCCAGCCACCACTATGCCAACCCCTACCAAAACTACTACTCCTCCTCCTCCTCCTCGGACACCACTCCCGCCTCCAACGGGGCCCTCCTGGTGTCCTGCTTCGAGGGCAGCCCCTCTCGTCCGAAGGTCAAGGCCCCCCAGGCCTTCCCCGCGCATCTCCTCAACCGCAACCTCTTTGTTCCGGTCTGAAAGGAAAGCAAGCAACGCCGCCATCCATTCCGCCCCCCGGGTGGCTGGCCCTGCCTGCACGCTGCACGTCCATCCCCCCCCCCCCCCCCTCCCCCCCTGGCCTCCTGCTGCCACTGGTCCGGCGGCCCAGCCGGAGGCGGGATCCTGATGCTGTGTACCCCCATGTGTGTGTGTCTCTCTCCTTATACCTGCCTTGTTCTCAACGCCTTGGCCCATTTCGGTCGCCCAAATACACATGCGCACATGTCAATGCTTCTCTTCGTCTTTCTCTCTTTTTTTCTCTCTCTCTTTTTCTCTCTCTCTCCCTCTCTCCTTCTTTCCCTTTCTCTCTCTCTCTCTCTTTTTCTCTCTCTCTCCCTCTCTCTCTCTCCCTCTTTTTCTCTCCCTCTTTTTCTCTCCCTCTTTTTCTCTCTCTCTCCTTATTTCCCTCTCTCCCTTTCTCCCTCTCTCCCCCTCCCCCTCCCCCTCCCCCTCCCTTTCGCATAACCACTTTCTCACCTTGCACTCGCGCCTCCAAGAAACACCCCGGTCAAGCGTACCATGTAGCAAGGAACATCCCGCCCGGAATCATACGGGCATCCGCGCCGAGACCACAAAACCAGCGGGCTGCCGCCCTCACACGCGCACCCGCTTAGAGCTTGATCGATCCCGTGGTGCTCCCCCTCCTCCTCCTCCTCCCCCCCCCCCCCCCCCGCGGCCCTTGTCCTGCACCGGCTCTTCGGCCCGCCAGGATGAAAAAGAGATGTGCGTCGACCGGGAATCGAACCCGGGTCTACCGCGTGGCAGGCGGCAATTCTACCACTAAACCATCGACGCTTAGGATGGGTCCCATCCCGAGGCCTAATATTACGCCCTGGCCCGTTTGCCTCCCATGTGTGGCGCCGGATACAAATGGCAAGAGCGGCCCCCCTCGCACCGGAGCCGACCGGATGGCATGCAAACGCGCGGGACCCGGCGTCATGCATGCCGACCCATGCTGGCGGCTCCTTCAGCAAAGCAACGCCTGCACCGGCTCCCCGGTCCGAGACAGCTCCCCTCACATGGCGCGTGCGCGTATGCTCCCGAGCACCCGGCCCACACTCTCCCAGGGACGCGGGTGTCTGCCAGCCAGCGGCATCGCTCGGTCGTTTGCTATTTCTTCCCTCTGAGCGGCCGATGGGCTTCGACATTCTCCGCCAGTCAGCAAGGGCCGGCCAGGCATCGCCAAAAGCAAAGGGCGGGCCGAGATCACGCAAGGCCCCACGGCAGCGGCACTTAGTTCCACTCGCTGTTGGTCACTCGGATGAGGACACTCGGCGCGGCAAGCTCCTCCCGCCGAATCGCAGAGGCAGTGATATTCACACCGCTGCATTTGGCCGGGTCAAACTCGATCGGTCGCCACGGTTCCTCGTCGATCCCCCACGCCGGGCGCGCAAGGATCGTCGGCCAGGCGCATCCCAGGGTCTCGGCGCACGTGGCCAGCTTGAAGTCCTTTTCCGACGACACCACGGCCATGCGGGCGGAGATGCTCAAGGGTCGATCTTTGGGCGACACTAGCGCCTCAATCAGATCCTCCTCCTTGAGCAGGGAAATTTCCTTGTCCACCCTGCCAATCAAGCGTGCGGCCATCGTTCACATGGTTAGTCAATATCCAGCACACATGCACGGGGGGGGGGGGGGGGACGCGCATGGGTCGGCACATT